TCTATATATATATATATATATATATATATATATATATATATATGTGTGTGTGTGTGTGTGTGTGTGCTGCGCACGCGCATGAATCTGAGGAGTGTGGAATATTTCCTTGTGTCGTATCCTGTTCCTTGCTTTGCTCTTTTTGTTTCATAGATAATTGTGGTTTGGTAGCTAAAGCGTGTATATCTACTTCCAAATGATTTAAGGAACAGTAGCAGTACTGCTCTTTTGTTTTACCATTTCTTATGCTGACCGCTAAGACGTAGTGTACTTCAACTGTTTCTTATCGGTGGCCATCTGAGTGTTCGACTTTCTTGTATAATAATTTTCTGAACTCTTGTTGCTGTCTTTTCTGTATGTCAAAAAGCACACACCAATCAGGTGGCACATATCAACTGTGGGCACTGTCGGACAACACTTATGTATCCATACGGAGCGTCATCTGTTAAATGTGCTGTTTGCCAATACGTTAATAATGTTAATGTGAGTAACAAGGATTTCCTTATATCATAAAAACGAAAGTACCTCCTGGGAGATTTTATATTTTCAAAAGCTTGAGTTGATTTTGAAGATTATTGTGCTAAGAATTCAGTCTCTGATTTGTTCATCTTCCTCAGATGGGAAATGCAAGGGCTCCTCTCCCGATGAACCGGCCGAATGGAACTGCTACTCCAGGGACAATACCCTCAACATCCACTGTGAGTTATTGAATGCAACTTTCATATGATTCTCGTGAAATCTGATTGAACAGCTTAAAGGGTACTGTCTTCACTCATTGTTGTTTCACTTCCAGCAGTCGACCCCACCTACTCAGACCCAAACCGTTGTCGTGGAGAACCCCATGTCCCTCAATGAAAGCGGAAAATTGGTGAGTGCGAATATATACATGCCTTCTCCATTTTTGTAAACGACAGGAATAAGATTTTGATGAATGTTGTGAAATAAATACGTCCCGCAGGTAAGCAACGTCGTGGTTGGAGTCACGACTGATAAAAAATAACCATGCAAAAGAGCTTTGGGAGAAGATCCATTCTCATCTATTTTTTTCTGCGGCTGGTTTGTGCATATTATTACATTGCCGGGGGGGAAGGTCTGTCTATAATGTTGTCGTAACTTATGGGACTAAGTGGTTTCCTGCTCTGAGGGTAATAATGAGTAGTGTTTTGTTCCTTTTTTTTTTTGTTTGTTGCTGCTGCATGGGGTGTGGCCTTTCTCTGTGTTGTAGACTTCGTCATTCATAAAAACATTTGATGTTACTTCTCATAATGCCATAGATATTGAACCTCGTGTACGGGCGTCGGACAAACCCCACTTGGGGAGTAGATAAAAAGCATTCCAACATCGAAACAGAAACTTGCCATTTGGACAAACCCCACTTGGGAATACAAGTGATGTTTTTTTTCCTTCATATCTTGTCTCTTACCAAGTGAACACACACACACACACACACACACACACACACACACACACACACACACACACACATATATATATATGTAAGCGCCAAACCAGAGCAAAAGGGTATGAGTGTTTACAATAATGAGAATCTAACTGAGATCGTTTTCATCGAGCTCTTCTTCTTCCGCATTGTTGGCACGCAGTGCGGTAACATCTCCGGTGGGTAGCTTTCTGGCCAACCTTATGATCTGAACCAACAAAAAAAAAAACAATACATACATTCCCACCAAATTATAGATTAGATCTGTACAATTTATCTCCAATGGACAAAACAACTGGCAGGGTGAGACATGAGTAAAGTCAGTTTCCTGATGGAGCAGAGAATGATGTCGGACGAAACTGATTCATCGTCGAGGAACTTGAAGAAAGCAAAACAAGGTAGATGACTTACAGTGTGGTCCAAATTTGAGATAGTGCTTGAATTTGCCACCTTCTTGATTTCTTCAATGTCACCTTCATTATAGGCTGTGAGCATTCTACTGGCGCATCGGCTCTGATCACTCTTCATAAAATCATCAATCCTATCAACAAATAGACAAAAAATCCATAAGATCATCTTTTATCTTTTTAACAGAAGGATGGGATACAAGAGAGTTGGTCAAGTTAACATAAATGATCATAAGTATCATCAAATCAGCTTTAGAAGGAAAAAAAGAGAAGTGTGTATGTGTATACTCACTGAGAACAGTCATTGTAGCATTTCTCTGCCTGGTTCAGGTCATGAGCATAAAGATACACAATGATTGCACTAAGATATGCCTGAAATATAAAATATGGTTTAAAAGGCAAAAACGATTATGAATCATGTGTAGAGTTGCAACAAAAAAAATACCACATGATGTAGAGGAACAGAAATGGAAAGGTTTTACAAAAAAAAAACAGAAATGGAAAGGAGATGCATATGCTGAAACTAGTAATATCAAACATATGTAAAGGTTGAAGCACCCTTAACGAATCGTACCTTACACTGGCTATTTGTAGCGTTGCACTTGTCGGCTGCCACTCCCAATCTCAACAGAAACGTTGCTGCATCCATAAACCTACAAATATGATTCATATACCGATCACTTTTATCAATACCTTAGATGCATAAGAAAGACGTTTTACACTATTGTGTTAAGAACCTAATAACAACATTTGTGCAATGAGATTTTGTATCAGACATGTTTTAAGAAAGCAAGAACATACTTCTCGAGCTTTATGTAGAGATTGGCACAAGCACGGTAAAGATCAAAGGCCATTTGTTCCCTGCCATCCTCTTCAAGAATGTCACAAGCATCGGCATATAGTTGGATAGCATCTTCTGGCTTGGTTTCTTCCAAGGCTCTACAACAGATTCCACGAAATAATTGCAGATGGAAGTTAATAATGAATCTAGCATCTGGAACACTTGGAGACGCTAGAATCAACCAATATTGGACAAAATACGCAGCGGAAAGTATGTGCATGCATATGCAGATAACAAAAAAATATAATACATACATGCAAATACCTGTGTTTATCACATTAGCAGCATATAACACAAAACAGAGTGATTGTGAAATCAACTTTTTATGACAAAGATGTTAATTATAGACTTACCGTGCAGCCTTTCCAATAGCATCTGATGCAGGTTGTGCCCTTCCACACTCGATGTACAACTCAGATGCTTTTCTATAAAAGTCGGCAACTTCATTCCAGTTTCTTAGATCCTTTGCTATGGCACCAGCAGATTCCATATGCTTTGCAGCATCCCAGGGACTATTTTATGTCAAGGATAGGGCAAGACATAATGCTATAAGCATTCAAAGAAATATAACGAAATAATCAACATTGAGTTATAGGATACGAGGAAAGCATCTGTTGTCCTTGTGAAGCTTTCTCAAAAGCCACTTTAGCTTTCTCAAGTTTTTTTGATGCCCTAAACCCGATTGCTGCAAATTATTAATGAGAGGGAGAAAAAAACAAGAAAAAGATCAGCTACGGCTACCATGTCTCCTCAGTACGTATATTTCATGAACATAGCATAAACTGTTCATAGTAATTCTTGTCTACGGATGTTTCGAGATTTTGTTTGGGTGAAAAGAAAACAAGAGAGAAATAATTTCAAATTCTCTCGTTGAGGAAATTACACCCACCAGCCTGTTCATACAACTCAGTAGCACCTTTCCAATCAGCGCTCCATCTAGTAAGGGTGAGTTTTGTCCTGTGAGAATGAAGAACAGAGGAGGCTTAGATAGTTGTACTCGAAATGTAGGAACAAGAAGACATGGACAACAGCAATTTAAAAGAAAATACTACTTTCCATGTTGAACCAATGCTTATAGACAAATTGATACAAACTGTAAATATCCGACACGGAATGTATTTTGATTTCTGTATCGCCGTTCAGTTCCATTACACGAGAAACCAAGACACACACATAAGATTTGCTGATCATTCCAGAACTTCTAAATGCACTTAACTTAGGACTCTGATTGCTCATTGATCCTCTTATCAAACCAATAAAAAAATCTTTGCATTTCACAACTCATTATCAACTTTAACCACATCCAATTTTAATCGCAACCGGCCATAGCGTTTATCGTCCAGGATTATCAAATGAATGCCTTCTGAAAACTCCTGATTCATCATATCACACTCTGAATGAAGAGGTGGATTCGAGTGCATTTGCATTACAATTCCAACCTCTCCAAAACACATCTTTACTTGAAATGCAAGACCCTCTTTGAGCCTATCAAATCACGAAAATCTTCTTGGGCGTAAAGCAAAACTCAGATTTAAACTGCTTCAAGGCAAGAAGACACGGAAGCTTAGATTTTTTGTTCCCCAGCCGACAGAAGTAACTCGCTATAATAACGAGGGCGAATCACTAGGAGCATTCGATCATTGTTTCACAATGAAAACAATGATACTTGAGCCCATTTCACACTTCACACACAACGAGACAGATACTTTTCTACGCCGTGGCATCGATTAACGAAATGCCCTACACCCGAATCGAATTTTACATCTACCGATCGTTTCCCTCATGGAGAGAGAGAAGAAAGCGTACAATTTATCGCCTTTGGACATCATCTTGTCAGGATCGGAACACATGGCTGTGGATCAAATTCTGCTTCGCACGAAAAATCGGCAGAGATCCGGTTGAATCGCGAATCGAGAGATCGAATCTATCGTCTCAGAACCTAGAACCGAACAACCTGAGGGTTTTGACCTGATCCTCTATTTCGAGAGGGAGAGAGAGAGATTTCGATGTGTTCCTCGTATCAAGTTATCGACAGTTGTCCCATACCATTCCACCCAAATGAATTCTCCCTCTCTAATCACTCGTTTCGGTATTTGGTTAAACCGTATAAAAATCTTTTTAAAACCGTATTATCTTATCATACAAAATTAATATTTTCCTTACAGAATTAAACCCAAATATTTAAAATGCAGGTTTTCTAATATATTTTTCCACTCCCACTCGTCTACTGGAACTACATTGCACGCAAGCATCATACACTATGTTATTTGTAATAAACTCGCCTATGGTTATGATTAAATTAAAACACAATCTTTATCGATATTAGAGATTTTCGCATGTTAGTCTCTATTACTCGCAAATTAGTATTCGCCCTTTTGTAGATATTTAGCATCCATATTACGAATTTTTTTTTTATAATCTGAATGTTCAACCCAACTATATTTTTAAAATAATCGGAAAGTAGCAACGTCAAATTGGATTATCCAACCCATTCGGACATAACCCATTTGAATTTAATATATTATTGATTTGGTTTGGGTTTAACCCAATATTATAAATGGATCAAGTCAATCCATAAAACTTATTTTAATATTCTAAATCCTTAATAAAAAAAATATTCAATTTTTTATTTTGAGAATTCAAAAAGACATATTTTTTCTAATTTTAAAATGCTAAAAAAATAATTCTATATACACAATTTAATATACTAAAATATATGTAAATAAAAAAAAATTCAAACCCAATTCATTTCAATTCGTATCGATTCAAATTCATTTCGATCTATCGGATCGAATCGATCCGTTTTGATTCGTTTCGGGTCGAATTCGATTCGGATCGATTTGTTTTGATTCGTTTCGAATCGAATTCGATTTGTATCGAATAAGTCCGTTTTGATCCGTTTTGGATCGAATCGGATCCGTTTCGAGTCAAATTGGTTTGGATCGAATCGATTCGTTTTGAATCGAATTTGATTCGGATCGAATCGGTCTTAAAATTCGATTCGGATAAATTTTTATCGAATCGTTTTCATTTCGAATTCGATTTTTATTATAAAATTCTAATTTTTAAAAGTTATTTTCGGTTTTTCGATCATTTTTATATTTGGTTTGAATTCAATTTTTATTTTAAAATAAATTTTATATGTTCGATAACATATGTTATTTTATTCGATTAATTCAATTTTAGTTTTGAAATATAAATATATTGACTTTATTTGTAAGTAAATATATAAATCAATAACTAAAGACTATAATATTTAATAGATTATTTGGGTTAACCTATTACACCCATAGATTTAATGGATTAAAATTTATTTAACCCTTAAAATAAATATATCAAAAAATATCATCTAAATATAATAATAATTGGATTAGATTGGATTAAATCATTTAAACCCAATCCATTTTGATATCTATACAAAAAATTCAACATGAATACCTCTACCCAAATAAAATAGAAAAAGGTCTTGACCAATCTTTTACTAGTTAAATTATCCAATCTTAGACATATTTTTTGATACTCGGCTATAAATATTTTCGAAATCGATAAATACTATATGTAAATTTTTCAATTTAAAAAATTATACGGTAAATATGGACGTGAGAGATATTAGTTTTGTGTATAAGATATTACTTTCGTGATTTGTACTAGATTTCAATATCATGATTTTTTTTTATTATATGTCAGTGTTGATATATTTATTTATCAAATCAAAAAGATTATATACTTCGTTCCACGATTTACAAAAATCGGGTAATTTTTTTTAGGATTATCCCTATTTATTATAATCATAATGGGAGAAACTTGCAAACAATGACGTACCATCGAAGCCGACATTTTCAAAAATTGATCAATTTAATCAATGTTACGTATACACATTACCAAACAAAAAAAAACTACAAAATAGATATAATATTAATTAATTAAATGGGAAATCCATTGACGTTTACATCTTTTACAAGTTGTCCAAATTTAAATTAATCAATCGTATGAAATTATTAATTACACATTTTTTAATAAATAAATAAATAAATAGTTTTTTTTCCATTCGTTGACTCGCACATATGTACACGAGATGAGCCTAAAAATCCAAACAACACTCGGGAAAAGAGATCAGAAACTCTGCGACGGGTTTAGTGTATTCGTAACTCGGTCTCTCCCCCTTGGCCGCCGTCGCCGTCGTCGGTCGTCGGTCGTCTCCGCCTGTAAGCTCTTTCTCTCTCTCTCTCTCTCGTTGTCGCGCTCGCACACAGACAAATTTAAAATTTCTCGTCCTGCTTTACTGATTTTGGTGGGTGTTTGCTTGCTTTGAAGATGACGATACAGAAACCCATGATCGATTTCGACAGGTTTGCTGACGAATCTGTTCGGAAATTGGTTTAAGATGATCTGTTTTTGTCTTCCCTACATGGGTCTGTTGTTGGGTTTTTCTTCCTCTTTTCAGCTCTTCTGATCTCGTCCCTCTTAAAGCCTATTATGATCATCATTGGTATGACTCGTTTTGGAGGATAATTTCCTGAATTGATAAATTTCTGCTTCCTACCATCGTTTGATTTGGTCATATTACAGCAAATGATCATATCATCGTTTGATTTGTTTTCCTTGTGATCATTTTGAATTCTGTGTTCAGGCCGTGACGGGCGATTTAGATAAGATTTGCCTTCTTAACATACGGTTGTTCATAGGTCTTTATCGTTTAGCTTATGATCACAATTTAGCTGTGATTCCTGTTGAAGTTACAGCTCTTAGTTTCTGTGAATTGTACTTAGCACATGAAATCAATTGTCCTGATTCATTTCGTTTAGCTGTTTCTGTGGTTTTACTATGATTTGCATCGTTGCAGAGATCTGTGAAACCAAACATTTCGGTATTAACAAATCTTACATCTTCCAGAAAACAGCGATAAACAGCTCAAATTCACATTACACCATGCCCGTGTCTTTTCGTAACTTTGCTTGTTGCCTTCTAGTGAATCCGACAAATGATCTACTTTTAGTTGCTCATAATGATCGTCTTCCGATTGTTTGACTTTCAGTCTAACGTCTGAAGCTGCTCGGTTCCTGTGGATATGGCTGAATCCAAAGGAAATGTTGGCGAGGTTTCCTACGATGACAGTTCCTCAGGTCAGATATTGAATATCTTCATGAAAATTTCTTTGTTTTCTTTGGGTTCTGCACTGCAAAAGTCCATTTTTGATTTCGAATATTGATGACAGAAAAAAGAAGAAGCTTTTTTCCGTGTATTGTGTACACTTAGTGACTTAGATATATATATCAATGAGTCCCGTACCCAAACAGTTATTCGAATTTTAGCCATTCCAAGAAAGTTCAAGCCTTGTTGTGTTTTTATGGTGAATTGGACCACCACTTTCATGCAATCTTTGGTGATGACAGGGAACATAGTGCCTTCCGATCCCCGGGAGGCTGAAATTCAGCAACGCTTGGAGCAACTAAACAAGCCTGCTGTTAAATCCGTCTTGGTACATGCATTCTATCATGTTGGAAAAAGAAAAGAAAAGAGAAAAAACCATGATACCAATTGCATCCAAACTCTCAAGAACCAATTGCAATGGTTTTTTTTTTGTCCTTTTTATGCTGATTTTTGTCTTATGATTTCCCGTATCGAGCAGTTGCCAGGTGGAGATATAATAGATTTTGTCCCAATCCGGGAGCAACTGGCTTTTGATGATCCCCTGCTCAAAGACCACATTATTCAGGTTCTTTCCCTTCAGTTTCATCTCTTTTACTGTTCATGGTTGCTCTGTTACATACATATCCATAACATTCGGGGTTTTTTTGGGTACTGTTTCCCATGGTTTGATACCGTGAAACAGATGAAACCGAGTTCCTATCCAAAAGGGTCGCCCACGGAGGAGGAAGAAGGGGAGGCTTCAGTCATTGTTCGACCGTACGGTGAATGTCCTGAAGGTACGATTCCTGTCAGAAGAACAACAAGAGAAGATTTGCTAAGAGCAGAGTCCATCGAGAATTATGGGAAGAAGCGTTCCAATTATCGCCTACCAGGACCACCAGATGCTCAGTAATATATATATGTGTGTGTATACATGCATATATATATATCCAACTTGTATAATATATCTACAGAAGGGGGCGGCTTGCATTGGACTTATTCCTCAACTTGGTTTTTTTTAATTAAACTTGTATAAACTGAAGTTGTGTGGGCGTGGAAATTTGTCTTTTGAGTGTAATAATAATACGAGGAGAAAAAGGTTTGTGTTACATGGATTCCTATTTCCTATACCATATTTCTTTTTTTTTTCTTAAGTGCTGATGTATTTTTCTGAATTCTAATGTAATCTTCCTATGTCTAGTGTTCACTCGTATGTATATCCCGAGTTTGTGGCTAATTTTGGTTTGGATTTTTCAGTTTAAAAAAAAAATCATTTAGTTTTTATGTTACCGTTTCATTCAAAATTGATTTATACTCAATTTTCTATTTTAAAATATATTTTTTTAAAGATATTCTTATTTGGTTGTTCAAGTTGTTTATGTATTCATTTCAGTTTTTATAGGTTCGATGAATTTGTCTATTAAACAATATATTTGAATAATTACGTTATTTGGTTCGAGATGATCTTTCAATATTAATTCCTTGGGTTTCACCACAAAAAAAAAAAAGTAGAATGAAAGCTTCGAGTACGATTTTACTCCACAAAAATTACTGAAATATGAAATCCAACAAAATTCTAAATTCATACATTTACCATATAAGTTGCAGTTCGGATCTCTTGAAAATATATTTGTTTTCATTTAAAAAAAAACAGTGTATAAATCAAACTAATTTGTATTAGGCCATTTTAGAACGTCGCTGATTATTTTTAGTTCGGACCAATGTGTAAAATAATAATAATAATAATAATAATAATAATAATAATAATAATAATAATAATAATAATAATAATAATAATAATAATAATAATAATAATAATAATAATAATAATAATAATAATAATAATAATAATAATAATAATAATAATAATAATCGGTACTAAACCGATTAGGTTGAGCAGATCGATGATGGATTACGATATCAAACCAAATCCAAAACATTGTTTTTTTGGAAATTATTTTTAGTTATCAGAGAGATAAAATATGAGATGAGATCTAAAGGGATAAGAACGAGAAGTCAATGAAAATAATCTATGATATAATCAATCTTTTTTTTTCATAAAAAATGATATAATCAATCTATTATGTAGATTTACAAATGAAGCCATTGAAAATAACCGTGCAAGGTATATTATTACGGAGAATAAGGAAATAATGTAACAAATTGAGAGCAGTGAAACCATGACTCAACCTCCAAACCATGAGGAACACACTCACGTTCATGACATGAAAGCTTTGAGTTCGGAGGTGTTTGGTCGGAAGTAGAACTCCAACGCTATTTTTGATGACTTGATCGTTCTCTTAACACATTTTCTATCACTACCCATCACACTATAAATTAAAAGCCAAGTTCTCTGGAAGCACACCATCATCAACCATGACAATGTCAAGGGATTACCTCGGTCTGATCCTTCTTATAACCTTTGCTCTTCTCCTCCTCCTCGGACCGAGCCCTTCCCTCTGCTCCCGCTCAAAACTTTCATCGGAGAAGCTCAAGGGAGAATTCCCGGTTTCAGCTTCGATTCTTTCCCGAGCCAATGGAGATCATACCTCAGCTGGTGATTCCTCTTTGATGGGTAAGGTGGGTTCTGCAAACTCTATGGTGGCTGGCTTTTTCAGGTTTAAGTTCCCGTTCTTCGGTTGGCCTTTTTTCCCCAAGTACCATCCTGTTCCACTCCTGAAACCGGCTTTGCCTTCTGTTCCTACAACTCCGGGAGCTGAGGAGTCTGAGAAGTTACCTTCTTCACCAAGCACAGGCAAGGATAATGGTGCTGGACAGAACCCTAAACCATGAAGATTAAGAATGTTGGAACCTTTCTGCAGTCTAAATTGTATCAAATAAATTGTACCTTACATTGATGAGTGTTATTTGACTTTTATACGAGAAATGAACAAAAAAATGACCCGAGACATCTATCAAGCAGGAATATTGCTAATAGCCTACTTCTAGGAAACCCACAAACAAACGGAGAAAAAGAGTGTACCAGTGTGCCTCTTGTTCATCAACTTTAGGTGACTTTCACGTTGATGCTGTCCGATTTGCCTGAATGAGACGGTCCATTGTGTAATGAATAAAGATCCGAAGACAGATAAAACTAACAAAACTAGGTCCTAAAGTAGAATGTCTAGGGCTCGATTGGATTAAAACAATGATCATGTGTTCTCAGGCACAATCAATCAGATCTTCCACTTCCACAACAATCATCATGTAGTAATGTACTCAAATCACTGAATACCCTATTTCCTCTGTGAATTGCGGGGATCCAGCTCCGAGCATCACAAGTCGCAAGGCAGAATGAAACATCGGCAATTACAACTACCATACCTAGATATCAACCAGTTTGTTAATCTGAAATCAGCCTCAAACTCGAATCCAGAATTGTCAAGGTGATTGCAGCATTTGCTTTTTGCACGAGAATTCACCAGCAAGACCCACAATTTAGGATCTCCACAAAGAGGAGACTCCTACAGTCACCAAACTGATAGGATTGCACTTAATAGGCTCTTCCATGGAAACGAATAAAAAGGACCGACAAAGATAACATCAAAGCTTCGACGAATCACTTTTCAAGCTAAGATATCAAATCAACAGACTCGGATCTGATAAGTTCAGTTGAACAAACCATGCCTTCACAAACCCATGACACAGCTCAAACAGTAAACCAAGACAATGGCATTGCTAACCTAATCACTGGCGCTGATTATGAGGATTCGGCGGAGGCCGCGGAGCAAATACAGGAACACAACCAGGTGGCAGAGGCATTCCGGGGCGAGGCGAAGGCATCCCAGGCCTCTGCGGCGGAGCCAAAGGTCCTCTCATCATTGGACACGGCGGAGGATCCATGGGTCCTTGCCCACATTGCGGTGGTGGCTCAAGGAACTTCCGCGGCGGAGGCCTCATATAGTATGCCGGAGGAGGACCCTGAGGCGGAGGGCCTCGCGCCACAGGTGGAGGAGCTTGACCAGAAAAAGCTGGAGGCGGTCGAACGCCATGAACTTCCCGACCAGTTGCCGACCATCCTGGATCGTCACCCCATCCGGTAATCGATGAAGTGAAGCATCTTAGAGCTCTTCTTCGTCGACATTTTCTCCGATCAGTAACAAACCGCGGGAGCAGAAAGCGTTGCCAGCGATTTCAAATCGAACGATTCGGGTTTCCAAAAAAGTCGGAAGGCAGAAATTCAGCGATTTTTGCTGTTGTGGAATCGAGAAGCCGGAAATTTCTAGGGTTTATTCAAGCGAAAGAATACCTTTATGGGCCGAAAAGTATTTGGATTCAGCTCACACTTTTAAAGTATTTTATTTTTTTACCATTTCTTATCCTTTAAATATCTAATCAAGTAAATCAGATTTTGTAAAATAAAATATTATTCCGTGATATTATTTTTTGGATATTAATACTTAGATATAAAAAGTAATGACTATTGACTAAGCTGTGATTTTATATACAACTATACAAGTAATAACAATCTATAAAATGTGGCACAATGGCGGAGACAAGACATGATAAAGTCATTTTCAAAGTCATAAGTTCGATTACATTGGTGGAGAGAAATGTAATTTATGGATCAAAATAGTTCATATACAAAGACCGTCTCGGATTTAGGGTGATGTAGTTGGACTGAATATCCGGAGAAATTATAAAAAAAAGTAACAATCTATAAATATATATTCTCCATTTTATAAAAAAAAAACATACTCACAAATTAGGGTGTCAAAACAAGCCTGGCTCGCGAGCTGGCTCGTGGCTCGTCAGAAAACGAGCGATCTGAGCCGTAATTTTTTCAGCTCGTTAAAAAACGAGTCTAACGAGCCAGAGCTCATTGAATACGTGTTCAATGAGTCTGGTTCGGCGAGCTGGTGAACTGCTCAACGAGTTGATATTTTTTTAAAATAAATTAAATTTATATAAAAAAACTCTAATATAATTTTATATTGATTTTTTCATATCATTTATATGATATTATAAATATACTAATTATTATGATGGTTATAATTGAAAATATTAAATGATATTGGTGTTTTATTAAACTTTTATGTATTTATTTAAATTTATAATTATATTTAAAATAAATATAAATAAAAAATATTATATATCTTTGGCTCAACGAGCCGGCTCGTTCAGATCGAAAAACTGGAGAGCGATCTGAGCCAATGTTTTTCTGACTCGTTAGAAAACGAGCCTAACGAGCTGAGTCCAAAATAATCCGAGCCAAATGAACTGAAACCAAAATGATCCGAGTTAGGTCGTTTGACACCCTACTCACAATATAAAAAATGGAGACACGTATAGCCATGCCTAAATGGTCCCACTTAATTTGTTTGCCAATGAACGGAGGACGAACCTGCTTGGTTTTCCGGCTGTATACAACCTGTCCCCTCTTCATTTATATGTTATTGAATGGACCAATGTATTGCAATACAAGCCAATGTACTATAAATGTTCTTAGGGTTCCATTCTTCGTACGTACGTAATTGCGATTTGATAATGCGAGTCAAAAGATCTCTTATAAATCCTATTGCTTCAGTTCACCATTTTTTTTTTATAATTCATAAAATTTTCGTATTTTTCAATCTAACTATATTTTTCAAAAGATAAAGTAATCCAAAAGAATATTTTTTTTGGAATGAAGACTCCAATTTAGATTTATCAATTGAACTAGACAATTTTGGATCAGTTCAGCATTTTTTTAGTTTTATATAAAAAAAAATTTCATTCAAAATTGGTATATCATATTCATTTCCCAAAAAAAAATACAATTTTAATTATTTTATATTCAACTTAAATTCGATTTTTCCATCTTAAAAAGTTGTATACTTCAGATTTTTCGGAATCCAACCCAAATCACCCTCTCTTTTGTAAAAAATGACGCCGTTTGGTTTGTAGTAAAATTTCACTTGGCGACAATGCGACGTCTACCCCCGCGAAAATGACAACGAAATATTCCACGTCGGTCCAAAAGAGTTCATCCATTGCAATAATTCAGCTGCGACAAATGTTACGTTAATAGCTCGCACAGCTTTTGGATCAATCTACCTCTCTCTCTCTCTCTCGACCAAGAACTGCAGAGGATGAAGTTCACAAGCTCCTCTCTCTCTCTTGTCTTCTTCTTCTTCTTCTTACTGTGTTTGAGTTCCACTGTTCGGTCTCAAACCAACCACGGCGAGTTTCTCCGTTGTCTCTCTCTCAGGTTAAACGGCACCAATTTAGTTTCTTCAGTCGTCCACACTCGGAACGACTCTTCCTTCTCATCTGTCTTGCTTTCATCGATTCAGAACCCTAGATTCTCATCCCCTGAAACCCCTAAACCGGTTCTGATCATCACCCCGGTTCGATTCTCCCATGTTCAATCGGCGATCTTATGCGCTCGTCGGCACGGCGTTCGTGTCAGGACTCGAAGCGGAGGCCATGACTATGAGGGTCTCTCTTACGTTTCCGGTACGGATTTCATCGTCATCGACTTGATGAATCTCCGGTCTGTAAGCGTCGATGTCGAAAACCGGACCGCTTGGGTGCAAACCGGAGCTACGATCGGGGAACTGTACCATGAAATCGCCAGAAAGGACAGATCTTTGGGCTTCCCCGCCGGAGTTTGCCCGACGGTGGGTGTCGGAGGACACTTCAGCGGCGGAGGGTACGGAACTTTGCTGAGAAAACACGGTTTGGCGGCTGACAACGTGATCGACGCGCACGTGATCGACGCACGTGGGAGGTTTCTTGACAGACAATCCATGGGAGAGGAGTTCTTCTGGGCGATTCGTGGAGGTGGAGGTTCGAGCTTCGCTGTTGTTCTGTCATGGAAGATACGATTAGTACATGTTCCACCGACAGTGACCGTGTTCAATGTCTCGAAAACGTCGGAACAGAACGCAATTAAGATCATTGATCGGTGGCAGTTCATCGCAGGCAGTGTTTCTAATGATCTGTTCATCCGGGTCATGTTGCAGAGATCGAACAAGACGGCGGTACTTGCGTCCTTCCCGGGATTGTATCTGGGCCCGACGAAAGACCTTCTGCCATTGATGGAACAGGAGTTTCCAGAACTGGGTCTCGAGGAGGAAGATTGTACGGAAACGAGTTGGATTGAATCCGTCGTCTGGTTTGCAGAGTTCCCCGAAGGAGAATCCATCGACGTCCTGACAAGACGAACACGTGGAACGTTATCGTTCAAGGCTAAATCCGATTTTGTGGAAGAACCCATGTCGGAAACTGCGATCCGGGAGCTATGGAGACGATTATACGCGCCGGAGGCCGAGTTGGCTCAGCTGATATTCACTCCATTTGGCGGGAAAATGAGTGAAATTGCAGAGAACGAGTCTCCTTTCCCGCACCGAGCAGGAAACATCTACGAGATTCAGTATCTGGTTTACTGGAGAGATGGAGAAGAAGAGACGAAGAACACAGAGAACTACATCAGATGGGTCGAGAGTGCTTACGAGTTCATGACGCCATTCGTGTCAAAATCCCCAAGAGGAGCTTACATAAATCTGAGAGATCTCGATTTGGGGATGTACAGTGACGGAATCAGGACAAGGTACGAGGAGGCGAGAAGTTGGGGAGTCAAGTACTTCAAGAGCAACTTTTACAGGTTGGTGAGAGTGAAGACAGCTGTTGATCCCTCTGATTTCTTCAGGGATGAACAGAGCGTTCCGCCATTAACGTCTGTCTCCGAGATCTGAAGTTCAATATTTGATATCAAGGGCATAGTGTAGTATCGCTAATGTAAATAGGTGTACCGAGCCATTATTGAACTGAATAATTTTTCATATTTTGCATAACCAAAATATCATATATTGTATATTCTGCAGGAGGGACTTACCCAAATTTCCTTGGAAAGATTATTTTTTGCTGCATAAAATTTAGTATTTATTAGAAAATTTCTATCTAGGAATCGAGTTTTTTTTTAGTGTATTTGATAATTTATATGTTATTGCCATTTTTATTTTGCTAATGTAATAACTTAAATCTCAATAACCATCCTAATAAATTTGTTTTTTTTCTCTCAAAACGTTTATTGACTTTGTTGATACATAGAACGAGTCTTAGCTCTGTCCCGACTCGGAACCCGTGACTCGACTCACTCGCGACTCACTCCGTGACTCGTGCCCCCGTTGCGTTTCTCTTGAATTTGTTTTTTTGGTTTTTGCCTTTGAGAAAAAAAAAATCTGGCCGTCATCGTCATTGACTAACTCGAAACCCTCTCACCAGGTCCTCTTTTTTTTTTTTTTTTTTATTAATTGGTAACCCCGGTTGCTATCCTTCGAACGCGCTGACCGAATAAACTCAAGCCCACAAGTACGAGTCTGTAACACACGCGTAAGAGGTTGTTACACGCGTAAGAGGTAAATGAGCCGTAACGGGCTGACAGGCGAATCAGTTAAATGGTAAGTAAGAACGACTTCAGTATTCTAGAGCTCCGCCTCAGGGTGACCCCTGCTCCCTTCCCACCTGACCTGCCCTTGCACGCACAGGTCCCTCTTCTTGCTATTTCGCATAAATCCTTCACCAAACCCTAGATTCCATCCTCAACCTCTGTCACTACCCATCGGAGCCTCCATTACCATTCACCTTCACCGTCAACGACTCTGAACGCACGCATTCTCCCTCATTCTCTCCGGATTCTCAGTACCCTCGTTCGATTTCGTATTATCCCATCAAATTCATCGAAAGCTACAGTTATCGAACGTTAATCTTCTCACCGTACCCACTTAATTTTTCTATTCCAAACCACAGAACAATCTGCAGGAGCATAATGTGGTGCAAAAGTAGAACACTTCAGGAGAGGCTTCATCGTATGGATAACCGATTAAGAAGGCAAGTCTTGTCACTTCTTCAGGATCGATTTCGATCGCGAATTTAAAGAAAATTATTCATTCCTGGCATTGCTGTCATATACATTGGTGATCCCATGATGCACTTCGGTTAGGCATTACTGTAAAGACGGTTGTTCATCCAATTTAGGGTGGATAAACTTTCTAGGAAGAGATTGCTTCTTGGGTTTTAGCTTTCTCATTTCCTTGATTGAGCTTTCTGAATATGGTGATATTTGGTCGTATTCGTCAAGTAACCCGATCCTATTCCCCGTTTTCAGATTCTGAAGGTGGATGGGAGGTGATTGAAGCCTAGTATCTGGTCCATCTCTCGTTGTGTTTTCAGTAGTGTTTGAAAGATAGTTAATTTGGAGTGGTCTCTGATGATAAAAATGCTCTAGATCCAAGAGAAAGCGGAGCATGAGGTTGGAAAATTTCCCAAAACGCTATTTGATAGTCTTCTTAACTTTCATCAGCACATCTGTGTGTTATATAGAGCGTGTCGGCTTCTCCATCGCATATACAGTCGCTGCAGATGCTGTCGGGATCGATCAATCAAGTAAAGGAACCATTCTGTCCACATTCTTCGTTGGTTATGCTTGTTCTCAAGTGCCTGGAGGGTGGGCAGCTCAGAAAATCGGGGGGAGGAAAGTTCTTCTTCTTTCATTTGTTTTATGGTCATCTACATGTTTTTTGGTTCCTCTTGATCCAAACAGAGTTGGACCCTTGGTTGTGGCTCGTTTACTTGTTGGCGTTGCCCAAGGGTTTATCTTCCCCTCTATTCACACGGTTCTGGCTCAGTGGGTTCCGCCTCATGAAAGGTCTAGGTTAGTTTCAATCACGACATCTGGGATGTATCTAGGTGCAGCAATCGGAATGTGGCTTCTCCCTGCTTTAGTTGAGTTTAGAGGCCCGGAATCAGTTTTTCTCGTGGAAGCATTAGCAGGTGGCATATGGTCGGTTCTTTGGTTTTGGTATGCGACTGACCCACCTCGATCCGAGCATCCAAAAGCTATGGCTGTTGGATTTGGAGGTTCATTGTTGCCAACTAATCTAAACCAGAACGGCAGTGTCCATCCTAAAACGACGAAAATCCCATGGAAGAAAATTATGGTTAGTTTGCCAGTCTGGGCAATTGTGGTTAATAATTTCACGTTTCATTATGCGTTGTACGTGTTAATGAACTGGCTGCCGACGTATTTTGAACTTGGTCTCCAGCTCAGCCTTCAGAAAATGGATTCATCGAAGATGATGCCTTATCTCAACATGTTTGCATTCTCCGTCCTTGGTGGTTTTATTGCAGACTACTTGATTACTAAAAGAATCTTCTCTGTAACCAGGACCCACAAGTTCTTGAACTCAGTCGGGTTCATAGTTGCTTCCGCATCACTAATGGCTCTCCCATTCTTTAGAACTTCCAGTGGCGTCATCTTCTGCTCTTCAGTGGCCCTTGGCTTTTTAGCACTAGGAAGAGCCGGTTTTGCAGTGAACCATATGGACATCGCTCCCAGGTATGCGGGAATTCTGATGGGAGTTTCAAACACAGCTGGAACCTTAGCTGGAATCATCGGTGTCGATCTGACTGGAAAGCTTCTGGAAGCTTCTAAAATGATGTACTCGGATCTGTCGAATCCAGAGAGCTGGAGGCTTGTGTTCTTCATTCCAGGGTTACTTTGTATATTCAGTTCCGTCGTGTTTCTGATATTCTCTACGGGTGAGAGGATCTTCGATTGAAAAGGTGTACCTAGGTTTTCTCTTGCATGTGAAACTATATATCTAGGGTAATTCATTTGATCATGGAGGTCCACACCTTATGTAACAATGAACTAGTTATCAGAATAAGTAACCTTACTTTGGGTAAGTTGTGTTCCTCCCACAATTTCCATTGTTGATTGTTGTAATTCCAGATGCAGGAAAGAGCCATACAACTGTCTCTATCTAAGGAAAAATCAGATTTTGTCCAGAACCTTATTCCAGAAACCGCTCT